AGTAAAGTTAAAACTTTATTGCTTAATTTACTCATTATTACGAACTTTATTGGCAACTACAAATAAAGGTTATTATTAATAAAAGTAGTTGTTGGGCAATAAAAATCTAACTGATATTAATTTCTTATTAAATTAATCATATTGTTTATATTTCCATTTTATACTTAAAGTAGATTTAGATTATATTTAGACAAAGGAATATCTGAGCGTAAGATATCGTAAAGGGAATGGGGAGTATTTGGGCTATTGAAAAAAATCGGGACTTTGAGCGGAATGGATTAGCCTCAAGAGCTTGGAGGCAGCTAAGTGAATCGGAGAATATTATAGTTTCGTCCAAACTATGTGGTTCCGCATACAACACAGCCTCCAGAAGGTACACTCACCAGTGGGTACAGATAAGAGGGTTGCAGTGTTACCAACTCCCAACAAAATAAAACCCTAAAACCAAACTCAAATAACCCTAAATAGCACTGAATGGTGTAATCAAAAGCCCCAAAAAAAGCCCTGTCCTACTTGTATTACCCACAGATTTAATGGTATAGTTTAAAAAAAAAACTGTTTTATTAAGGTGATTAAAATAGACCTCAGTTTTATTTTCTAATATTTTTTTTAGGATTAATTAATCGAATCGCATTCCATTAATTTCGTTAATCTAAAAAAGGTGACTATTTGTCTTTTTTTAGATGAATAAAAACGCACTCTAATACACGAAACTCTCCTGTCTTTTCTACTAGTTTACTAAGAAGCCCTCTCTTCTTAGTGAACTAGTAGAAAAGACAGGAGAGTTTCCAAGCACATTTTGTATAATCATGGAACATTTTGTGCGAAATAGACTTAAATACTTTAAAGCATCAGATGACGAATTTATTTGATGAACGAAGCCAGAAAGCATACTATGTTTTATGACTAAAACCAATCCAAAAAAAACCATGACACGAAAATAAAACTACAGAAAATGCAAATAGATTTAAAAAATGTCATATTGAAGCCATAGCAATATACTACATAGGTCGCCCACAGACATACACACACGTCCAGCTAAACATTTGCTTCTATATAATGAACAATTGGTACCTGTTTTGTCAATAATTTAACGTTTCATCCATTGTCGAATTCGAAGAGAAAATAAAGTTCTTTTGTATGTCGTAAACAATGTTGGTTAATCTATTTTAAACCAAATAAAAATATTTAATGGGTAATTTAGACATTACCTGACTTTTTTATTATTAATTTAATTTTATTAGCACTAAAATTAGCCCTAAATTTTCTTGAGCCCTAAAAAAAGCCCAATCAGTTTATTTCCGCCCTAAATTTGGGGTTAAAAGCCCTAAGTTGGTAAGCCTGGAGGGTTGGAAGGCGACGTGCCCTTTGACCGTAAGCCTAGAGGAATCCGTGTACATCGGTGTCCACCCTTGCTAATTTCGACAAAGAGTTTCTAAGAAATCGTGAGAAGCACTTGGAGAGTTCTTGTCAATTCCAAAGCTGTAAGGGAGTAGAAACTGTTCTGATAGAAGGAGTTGGACGCAAATTTCTCAATCGGGATAGAAGGCCTGTAAAATTTATTGAAGCTGACTACGTTACAAGGGAGGTTCTGAGTCTCCGTAACACAGTGTAAGTAATTTTGGGATGAGCGGGTGAAAGGAACTGTGAAGAATATTAAGTTTGAATTTGTAACATAGGTATTGCCTGCGTAAATACAGTGAAGGCTCGACGCACTCTACTTGGAGGGAATTTATTTATACGATTTCATAGGGCCTAAGACAATTCTCAAAGCTTTGCTTTGGACTCTACCAATTTTATCTAATGCAGCTTTATGACAAGGTTCTAAAAAGGAAGTATCATAGTCAAAGTGACTACGCACTATGGTCATAGGGTGGGCTCTCAACCAAATACCAGATAGTGCTCGTAGTACGTTCAAATTATTTGCCTATATGTCTAGAGTACAAAACTACCCCTAGGAATTTGGCCAGATTTTGCAAAAGAATTAGGCTTCCATTGTACATCAGATTAGGATCGGGAATAATTCGTTTTTTGTGAAAACGACAGTGCTACATTTCTGTACTGAGAGTGATAAACCATAGTTTTCAAACCAGTTTCCTAGATTAAAGAGGGCTCGGTTAAGCAGAGATGTAGCTTCTGCGATAGATTTGATGCGGATATACAGTGCTACGTTGTCGGCGTATTGTTGTACAAAGACAGGAAAAGGTGTTTTATTTTATTCGGAGCTCTGATTAAAAATGAATATCGGATGTCATCAGCGCCCGGGGAGTGTCTTTCAAGCCTTGAAGTGCTTTAAGTAGTTCTTCAAAATTAAAAGGCCCATCTAGGTCTCCACTTGGTTCGTTTCTATAGGGAAGTAATAATGTAGGTAACGTAAGGGGGAGCTAATTTATCCGCGAACATTTCTAACCAGTTTGAGGAGTCATTGGTACTGCTGTTGGGTGAATTTAGGTAACCGCGAAATCTCTTAATCTGTTTCCATACCAAGGAAGTGGGGTTTCTGGTGATAGACTCACAGAACTTGAACCATCCTTCTTTTTTCTTTTGGTTAAGTATTTTTCTAGCTTTGGCTGCTGTTTTTTGAAAGGTCAAGTAGTTTTCCATAGTCATTGAACTCTTGTATTTTTTCTCCGCTTTTTTACGCTCCGTAGTAGCTTCCGTACTGTGGCGACTGATACATAGCGACATCTAACTCATCGCACTAACATCGCCACAACAATCGATAGGGTCCATACTGTGGTGATGGAGATAACTGGCTAGGGAGACTAAAGGATAATTGTCTCCCTCCGAGCTAGGTGTTGTTAGCCCGGTGACCGCGGTCCAACCGATGTAGGTTGGACGTTCTATTTATGCTAGTTGGTAATGAAACTTATTCTGTGCGATGTAGGTTTCTTTGTTCTAATTGTCTTGTAGTTATTAATTTTATGATGTTTGTATTGGTACAGCGCCATCTCGTTACTTGCTGTTGAAACTTATTGCAGTCTTGCTATCGATGGCTGTGACGATGCTAGTCTTCTCGCTATCGATTGTTGTGGCGATGTTAGTGCGATGAGTTAGATGTCGCTTTGTATCAGTCGCCACAGTACAATCAGAATCCCACCAGGGTTGATATAATTTTCTGTGTGGAGATTTCTTTTTGAGAGGAATATGTGAATGTGCAGCAGAGAGCAGCGATGTGACGAAGTCATTATATATATTAAAACAGTTTTCAATATTAACTAGAGGAAGGTCATCTTTTTCATCCAAAGCCCAAGAATAAGTAGATCAACCTGCCTACATTAAAAGTGACCTTATAATGTTTTTAATTCTTCCATTATAGTATGGTTTCGACAAGGGACATATACTGATACACAAGATAAGTATATTAAAAAAACTTGCGGCAACTCTGTTAATGTCCTGAATGTGAGGAGGTAAATGAAGTTGATAGAATGGTTGAGAGTTAGCTATGAGAAGAATGCTGCCACCACCCAGGTCATCCCTGTTATCCCGAAGACAGAAGTAACCAGACACATTAAAGAGTTCCGGGTTCCAACCATATTTCCATAATGGCAAGGATGGACGGGTGAAATTCATTTATAATGAAAAATAGGTCAAGTTTTTTTAGTTCGTAGGCTTCCATTGCACAATTTTGGCCATTATTTATATTATTCTGTATAAATTTATTAAGCTCACTGAGTCTTGAGGCAACGTTCTGCGATATGGGTACATCATCAAATCTGTTGAGTAAGTTGAAAAGTACAGATCAAAGAATTTCGAGCAGACTGTCATTAGGGGATATGTCAATGGAATTAGGACTTATCCAGAGCACATCCGTTGGGCATAGTATCTCCATTATTACCAATGATGTTTTGATGGGCTTGTTTGTCATAGCCTTAACTCAAAGTTGGTTTGGGCCTTGGCTGCCTCTAATACTCACATGGACGCCTCGACGTGACCACGACCACTGACGACCGCTCTGCCAAGAGCGAAACGACAGAGAAGAAGAGTTTAATAAACTTTTGGCGTGATTGTTCGGGACATAATTTATTGGTAGCAAAGTGTCTAGAAGAGCAATATAAACATGTTGAGTCTTTTTCAAATATCTCACAGCTTGCTTCAGAGTGAGGTTGAGCACATCGAAAATCTTGATTTAGACCGACAGAGTCTTGATTTAGACTGACACTGAGTGCTGATACGGCCAAACCTACAGCAGTTAAGGCACTGAATAATTGGCAGTTAGCACGATTCGACTGGCATTGATGTGGGGAAAATGTATAGTTTTGGAGGCAAAACTTAACCTTGTAATGTGAAGACCACTGTGATTTTTGATCCTCATTTTCCTGCTTAGACATCTTGCTTTTAAAACTGGGCCGCAGCCAACAGGAACAATGAGAGACTCAACAAATTTTTCCATAGACAAATCTGTAGGGATGCCTTTAACTATAACCATGCACGGTTAATTGCAGAATATTTGTTAAGTGTGAGAAAACAATTATCGATAAATTTATTTGCATCTAGGCCTGTCTTAAATTTAACAGCAATTCTATTCCGACCTATTCTTTTTACACCGTCATTGGTAATGTTTTTGACGAGGAATTGTTCAAATTTGATAGGATGAATTGAGGTACCAGAAGAAGGGTTTGTTTCTAGTTTGGGAACGTGAACAATAAAAGGACCTTTATCTAACATTAAGTATTGTTTTGTTTGTGATTTTGAGATAGGTGTGTATAAATTTGGAGAACATGGAGCAGTCTGTGACTGACTGGGTTCCAGGATAGTTCTTTTGATCGTGGTATATGTCTGTTCTTTAGTCATGTTCCGACTTTTAAGTGCCTAACTTGGTTTGAGTAAATATTGAAGGAGACAGTTCCGCAGGTACAGGCGTGGGTACCATTTCCGGAGGATCCGGAGGGTCAGGAGTGGATGTGACAACACTGCCCGCGCGCACGCGGGCGAGCCCGGGGCATGAGGTGAAGAGGAGGAGGAGCGGGGCCGCGACAGCGTCACGACACACTCGCTCCACGACCGCACGAGACACCGCGCGGTTACATATTGTCGGGCTACCTTTGTATTTTAAGGCATATAAAACCTATAATTACAGTCCACAATCTTTCATTCATCTCACAAAGCAACAGGAGAGATCCTTTCTATTACTTACTCTCAAAGATAATTTATAAGTTATTCACCAGCACCAACAAAAAACATTTATCACTACAGGTGTTTCTAATTAACGCTTATCCTTTACAGTAATATAACGTAGAAAGGAGAGATTAAGTAATTTATAAAACGAAAGCCAAAAACCACGTGCACTACTGTACACTAGCGAGTTGACAGTCGAAAAAACCCAAAAAACGTTCTTTGCACAGTTCTATGTATGTCAATGTCAAAGTCAAAATGACATATTCCTTAGAGGACTGTGACGTCACGTTCTGTTTGGAGTCACCTGACAACAGTGTTTTTTCATAATCAATTTAAATAATATTACAAATAAAATGAGCACGGTAGTGAGATTATCAGTAATAGTATATTCAATACTACCAGAAAAAAAAAATAGTATATATTTATTTTCGTTTACTGTCTTCACCCGTATTTGGTACCAAACTAAGAGAAAAATAGACAGCAGAGGTCTGTGATTTACATTTTTACCTTGACATGAAAGTCATAGCAGTGCTATTGTAATATAAACAAATCTGCATAGTAAAATTAAATAAAAGCTATAGGTAATAAAGTTTTTATTCCAGCGAAGCACCATGCTGTGACAGCGCTGCATCCACCTGACGTCGAACTCATGACTGTTTTTAACAGAATGGTATAGCTGATTGATCTTACTCCTAATATTTTGATGTTTCTTTAGTCAATCACTTTACCAGAGATTTATTATTCCATAAACCATTTTTAAATTTTTACTGGTATTGGTAACCTCTCTAAAATCAATTTTTCAAAACTCTACATAATTTACATCCTTATAGATTAAACTATGTTACCAATAAATTTATAACAAGAATCAGTCAGTAAGTCCATTAATTTATCCTCTGTTTGACTTATTATACATTCACTATGACACATATAAATATTAAACACCTGCCAACACATTACTAGCTGTATTATTTTGGATTTTTGCTATTTCTTCTTTGAATTTAGCTATAGTTTCTTTAGCTAAATGCAATTTCTCCTTTAATTCTGATATCTCATTCCTAACTTTAGATTGAGCAGCTATTATCTTCTCTAAAGTCTTTTCTTTCTTCTCTTCAACTGTAAATAAAACTTAAATAAATGTTATATTAAGTACAACATTGAAGAGGTAATTGAAATTTTACAATTTTTAGAGAATATATTAAATTGTATGTGAGTTGGATCTCAACAATAATTTATTAACACACATTAAGTGTAGAGGAATTATTTTATAATTAAATAATTTCTTTACAAAAAAAGTTTGTAAAGAAATTATTTTTATATATAAAATGTGTCCATGGAGACTCCATAGACATATTGATCCATGTTGAAATAAGGGCACTACGAAAACTAGTTAGCCTGTGCATAACCATTGCACCATTGAGCTCCTAAAATATATTTATAGAAACTTATTTTAAATAATTCGAGCCTTTTCAGAAAAAAAACATAGTAAGCGACAACATAACAAAAATGAGGTTTTCTGTACCAATCGGTCAGATTGTAAGAGGCGCAAATGTAAGATACTATTAAATATACGATTCAGTTTTATGATTTTTTTTTTATCATAAGTAAAACTAATGGGTTTATTGTTGCTTGCAATGGAAATTAATGTATTTTGCTTTTAGTTATCCACATTACCATTTCAATTTTCATTTTAAGTGGATATCATTTTAGTTTTTTTAGTTTTATAATAGAAACTTTACAAACATTACCTTGAGAAGTCAACAATAAAAATGACAATAACTGTTTATTTCTTCAAAATCAATAGATAGACTCACCTATACAGCAGTTAGAGAAATTTTCAAAATGATGATGTACTTTAAGAAATATTTAAAAAAATCCATAAAATACACAAAATGGTAGTTACAATGGTCTTCCTGAAAAGGCTTGACATATAGAAGAATATTATGTACTCACAATCAGTATCATGATTCCATGGTCCATTAGTAATTGGTTTTACACTATTCAAAAGATGTTGCATCAGTTGTGTTGGTTCTTGAAAGACAACCTCTTCATATGATTCACTGACCAAAGCTCTGCCGACAATAGGGGGTGCACCTTCAGTTACTGGTGTTTGGAACAATTTTAAGATGTGGTAGAGTGTGACCTGTAAATTGTGGCTGAGATCAATTTTGTTCTGAATACATTTTATAATTAAATAAATATCATATTATGAGAGTTACATAGAAAACTCAGTTACATTTCCATGTTTCAATAAGAAACTTGTTGATTATTGAAGAAAGAGGTTTAATTGTGGAATCAACTCTGGTATTTGGTCCATGTCTTACAAAATATATATATAAAGAGTATCCTCTTATCTAAGTCAACTAATACTCTATCTATATACCAAATTTTATCAAAATCCGTTCAGTAGTTTCGGCATGATTGACAGTCAAACATACAAACAAAGAAACTTTAACATTTATAATAATAATAGGATAAAAAATGAATAATTAAGATAATATAAGTGATATCTCAAAGACAATTATAGTTGTCATACTTACAGGTCTTTCATTGGGATCGTGAAAGTATATCTTGATAACTATTTCAAATTCTCCCCATCCTGTCTCTGTAAGCTCATATGGGGGCTTTGTCACTATTCTATTGGGGTTTGCATAGCTCTCGTGCAATTTAAAGTGCACTTTTTTTATATACGCTGACATATCTTCGTTGGCGTACGGTTTCACATAAACAGTCCATTGATGCGTGTGACCGTCTTCTTCTCGCTTTTTACCAAAATAGCGGGCAACGTTGCCATATACAATAGGTTTTACTATCACTAAGCCCTGTAATATACTAAGTACAGTGTCATGAAAAGAATAGACATGTCATTAGGCTAATATATAAGAAAATAATACATAAAGTTAAACCATACCTTAACTCTTCCACCCGAGTCAGGCCCGAAATCAGTTGGTAAACTCATGTCGATATCTGTTTTGGAATTCAGCTTGACGAATGGAAAAATCACGAATTTGTGGATAATTGTGATTCGTTATCTTCAAATCAGGCACAAATTAATAATCTTTTAATCATTTCCAATGCCGAGCTCTTTATTATTTATCTGTAGGGTTCGAACCAAGGAGTACTATTATTCTATGGTTCGAACGATACTTTCGATACCGAGTAGGTATCGATACTTTCAAAAGCGAAACTCGATACTAAGTACTCAATACTACAAAAAGGTAAATACTCGCAAGTACTCATCAAAATTGCTGGTATCGAGTATTCTTGCTAAAGAATATATACTATAGGCGTTTGCATTTGACGTTTCAACTTAAATCTTATACTTTTACTCTTTGGTTTTTATTTTTATACTTTTACCCTTTTGGCTGCCATAAAAATAATGTATGACTGAATTGTATAAATGTATGGAAGTATTGGATCGGTTTTTTTTTTCTTTGTTTTTTCTTTTTTCTCTTCTTCCATTTACTTTGAAATGGAAAGGCAAAGGCAATTGATTTTTTTAATAAACTATATTTTCGTTATAGACATTTTTTTTTTAAATTTTATTACGTTTCCCAAAAACAAATATTTTATAACAATATTTCATACACATTTTACAAATTTTTGTTTGTCTGTCCGTCTGGTAGATTGTTTTTTTTTTAGGATTAGCCTTCTTTAATGATGTCGATAAATACTCGATACTGAGTAGTATCGATACTTTGGGAGTGATACTTTTATGGTATCGATACCATGACCCTCGATACCACATGAGTACTCGGTATCGATACCAGAAGCCGATACTTCGAACCCTATTTATCTGATATTTATTCTCTTTAGAGTATCATTTAGGGATGTGAAAATATATCGGTTATAGAAATAATCGATTTTATAAAAGTAGAAATCTCTTTTTAATACCTGATTTAATTTTGATAAATAACCGATTATCAATCGATTTGTAAATAACAATTTAAACAATATTTATCATCTGCAACCCCCCGACATTAAGCTTGGTTTTTCTCTCGGAGCCCGGAACGCGAACTGTCAAAGGATACTATCTTCATAATATTACAATAACGCCATCTATGCATCTATGATGGCATACCTTCTGTATTTTTGGAACAAACTAGTTGATTAATTAATCAAACATTCATTAAATTCAATAGGTGGAGTTAACAAATTGTATTGTTTTGTTAAACAACAGGTGATGTAACGCCCCTCTTGCTTAAATCAGAACTTTGGGAATTGAACCTGATGCTTAATTTGGATCAGGTTCAATCCTTGCCTTAACATCACAGCGACGTCATGACAAAAGTTGTTTTTTTTAGATATAGATGTGTAGCTATTAAATAAAATAAAAAAAGTTTTATACACCCCTGTTCCGATTTTTTTTTGTGACAAAAAGGTTATTAGTTTTATTAGAAGTCTCATTTTTAACAATATCTACGACTAAAAGGACAAAAACGATGAATATAACAAAATCGATCGTAAGAAGATAATCATTTACTTATCGATGTTACATGCTACAATAAAAAAACGATACGATTAAACGATGATCTGCAATGTAATCCCTAGTGTCGCTGATTTTGACAGCACATTAACAGTATGAGGCTTTTTTAATTTTTATTTTTAAGCAACAATATCTAGGTCGTGAAACCTTATATATCCGTCTGATTTTTATATCACAAAAAATGTGTTATAAGCTCAGGTGAAATATCTACTCTATAGTATATCTCTATATAGTATAGTTGTAAATTAGTGATAAACCCTTTTCGACTTTTAACATCGGAATTTTGCTCAGATTTTTGGCATTTTAATTTATTCTATATCTATACTAATGATAAAGCTGAAAAGTTTGTTTGTTAGATTGAACTCTAAAAATTCAGGAACTACTGGATTGTTATTGTGCTGAATAGTCGATTTATTAAGAACAGGCTATACCATAACATCACGCTATAACATATAGGAGTGGAGCAACAATAAAATATATTACATATCTATATATGTTTTTAAGGTTCTAAGGATTATAAGAATTTGCCTACAGTGAAAAGTATTTTAAGAAAAAAAGAAAGCACTAAAAAGCACCACACTAGATGGCGACTCTATCAAAAGTTGATTTTTGCTGCAAACGAATGGACCAAAGATAGTCATTCCCATTCCTTTTAACTAACATATTAAAAAACTGAAATTTGCAAAGTTCGAAACTTAGATATCAATACAAATATGAAAAAGTATAAATAGAATATGTGTTATTTATTGAGTTTGAAAATTAATTAATTTTTATATATGAAAGAAAACCGGAAAGGTTGTCATGGAGAAATCAAGAAAGTACCGAAAGACATCTAGTTTGATTTTGGGAACTAATGTTTTTTTAAATACTCTCTCATTAAAAATACCTGATACAGATTACTCTATACCTATGTTAGGAAAATATGAACCATTTCAACTTATTTTAATATGGAAAATATTATGCTTTGAAAAATTGAAAAGTAGGGAAATTTACTATAAAAATTTGCTAAAATATATACAATAATAATAACAATTCTTTATTGAGTGACTGCATATATGGAATTCAAATAGTTACTTATAATGTTTCTTACATTATAATATCTGCTAAATTAAACTTTGTCAAACGAAATAACTTATACCAAAAAGATTCTAAAACACGAAAACAGTGTGAAAATAAAACAAGAAAATTAAATTTTATGCTTTAATCAATATTTCTTATTAGAAGGCAAGTGAACAATGGTCCGACAAGCTCTTTCACTTAAATTTAAATGCAATATTTTAAATAACATTTAAACTAACTAGTTACCGTCATTAATCGCTTAAAGTGTTCGCTCTATGTTATAATGAGCACATTATCATTTAATACAATCACAACATTTAAGACGTGGCCGTGGGCCTGTTTTCCACTCGATGCCCGAGGCTACTTCACTAGTTGCATAATTCAACAAACTAGGCCGATAATTAAGCAACTGGAAAAGCGTTCGCTACAATAGCTGTAAAAATTTACTAATTATTTGAACATAATTCTGTGAACAGTATGTATAGCAAAAGAATGTAATAAAATTAGTAGATCTCCCAGATAGCAATTTAAACTCGTTTCTGACTTGCAACAAGTTTGATACACTAAAAAATAAGACTTGCTACAAGTTTGTCATGACAGCTGCAGCAACTTGCAGCAAGTTTAAATCAAACTTTCCAGTGTGACACACTTGCACTACCTTTGACGTATCAACGGTAGTGCAAGTGTACCTAGGAAAATTATTATCACTACTACTACGGTAGTAAAGTACGGTAGGAAAATTATTATCACTACTACTACGGTAGTAGTAATAATAATTTTCCTAGGTACTGACTCGAATACGGAATACAGGTTTCGAGGCAAATGTTAATGAATCTTTTATCATTCTAAACTTTTGGTCCAAAAGCGAATCAAACTTGCCCCAAGTTAGCATGCTACCTGGGCTTGAAGTTAATGCGACACTAAAATGCATCACGTACAAATGTAAAATTTTGAGACTATAAAACGAAAAAGTTATATTTTTAATAATTCAACAATAGCCTCGGACCGTCAGTTTAAAACTTGTGGTCAGCGCGTGAGTTTTCTGCCTCGGCTAGCAGAGGGTTGCTCTCTTCTTCCAACCTCGACGACCTCGAGCCGTGTCTAGAGGCCGAGACCCTCTGTGTGAATGTGAGGATATTGGGCACTAGCCCACTGCACGGAGTGGCCGGAGCTGATCGGGAGGAAGTTCTAGCTCCCGGTGACACCCTGGAACCTCTCGTTGGGTACGCGACCAGTGGCATATATAAGCTCGATTTTCTGACTTTGGAAGTCTTTTTTACGCTTTCTAAACGGCGGTGCCGTCTTTCATCACTAGGTCTTCGGAGGGTGGACTCTCTGGAGGATTGCGTTGGGCTGGTGGGTTGCGGGGGAGATTCGCAAGCTGTAGGCCCGTCAGGAGATGGACAAGAGAATAGATGCCGGAGTCCGTACGCCTCGTGGTCGTACGCGGTCTCTTCTGCAGCTGAAGGGGAGCGGTGTGCAGGGGGCGAAGCTCCCAGTCGCGGCTTGCAACCCCCATCACAGTACAATTCGCAGTCAATCAGCTCTAGTTCCAAGTCGAACGAAGGATCCTGAAAAAGTAGTGGATATTGACCATTTCCTAAAATAAGACTTGCTACAAGTTTGTGAGATATTGAAAGTAGTTTGTTTGTTTTGTACTTTAGCCACTACAAAGTGTCACGGATTTGGGAGACCTATTTTGAAATCAAATTCTATAACTCCTTTTTTTAATGTAAGTTAAGTTTCATTTTGTACCATAACTATCTCATAAAGTTTCCTATTGTTAAAATTAAAATTGTAGTTCGTCGCAAATGTACCTACTTGAATCATAAAAATGTCCAATTTATTGTTCATATAACAGCAAAAAGAACTATCAAGCACGAAAAATTCAAAAGTTGTCAAGTATCGAAAATAGTCATCATCAGTCGGAAGTCGGAATGTAAAGTCAACAACTCATCAAGCAGTACAAAACTGAAATTTCTCAAATTTACTTTAAATCTTAATTATTAATTCAAAAGCGAATGCAATAATTATTGTGGTATGATGAGTGAAATGTATTAGGCAGCTATACTTACCAAAGGCTGGACGGGGGACGTAATAAGGTTGTCCCTGAACGCTTGGGAGGAGACACGTGTGCGTCCGTTCGTCGACTCGGACACAGCTCTAGTCCGCGGCCGCGCTGAGTGAGCGGGCGCGGTGGCGGGCGCGGCGGCGGACGCGGACGCGGGGGCGAGCGCGCGCTCAGTCAGCGAGGACAGCGAGCGTAGCAGCGAGCGCCCGCACCCAACGCCGCCGCACTCCTCGTAGTTGCTCGCACACGAGTATGGAGGCGGGATGATCGAATTTGCCTGATCCACAAAAATCACTTACAGCCTTGAACTAGTCGTCGAACGCAGCGCTGTCGCGTCATAGAGTTTTATCACCTTTTATTTGATTGAACCTCTATGACGTTTCAGCGCTACATTCTATGGGGATCACAAGGCTATTTTTATGATAGAATAGCACTACAGTTAAGAAGCTCGTGGCATCTAGTAGAAACTTTTGTCATTTGTAACGTATGAAAAAGAGAAC